AGTACTGTGGATTGAACTCAGGACCCTATGCTTGCCAGAGAGGCACTTATTCTTCTGAGCTACCCCTGCAGCCCTGAATATATATATTTTTAAATACAGGGAAGATTTTATAACTGTGCCCACACCTGGCTCCACCCCTTTTCTTTCCCTACAATGCTAAGTGATTCTAACCCGAAACCAGAGGTCAAAATGACTGCCTTACAGGGAAGAAGTAAAATGGCTTTCTCCCCAGGGATTTCCCTTTAGAGGTGTTTGACTGCCAAGAGCTCTGGGGACAAAATCAGCATTAGGCTATATCCAGGTTCAACTGTAGCAGACAGTGCTATTGTCCTGCCAATAGCTGCATTTTTCAGGTGTCCCCTAACGAATCTGTATTTTGTTCTGGGGTCTCCATGTACCCAACTCTACCTACAGCATGTGACCCACCTCTGGCCAATGGGTCAAGCAGAAGCCTCAATGCCTGCTGGGACATCTTGCTTCCCTGCTGCAGCTGGGGTAGAGCCCAAAGTCCATGAGATAAGGCTGTGGATTTCCCAGGAGGGTTGCACTCTTCTGCAAGGGAACCACTCAGAGCTATGTCAAGCCCATGGGTGGCACAAAATCCACATGCTGACCCCTGAAGGCAAATGAACCAAACTAGAGACATCTGGGGGAAGGCTTCTCAGTCCCACAGACACAGCGGCATGGCTGGGGCCCAACGCTTCAGCAGTCTTCCTGCAGAGGCCATTGAACACAGACTCTGTGGGAGGCCGTGTCCCTTTAGGACTAGACCAGTGAGAAGCAAATACACTGAACCTTGGCCTACCAGTTCAACTCGTTTGCAAGGGCTGGCTGTAAGTCAACCTTTTTTTCTCATAAAAAATTATGGAAATACCCATAATGCATTCTGAGTCTCTCAAGGCACTTCTTAACTAATCTTCTCAAAACAAAAAAGGTTGTATAATGTGAACAATTGACCAGAAACACCAATAATTTTCCTAGTGTAGTCACCAAAGGTTCTAGAACAACAATTTCATGCTGTACTCACCATTCAAGTTGACCTCATTGGCTTCCAGGACAGGAAGATGGAATGGAAGGTGGCTATGGTTTAGAAGGAGAGGCCCTTCCATAAGAACCTCAGGAGTCTGGCTCTCAGGGGTCCTTTCTCTCCTGAGGAGAATCTGAGATCCCTGGGACCTGCTTTTGGCTGAGAAGGGCTCAACCTTTTCAGAACTAAAAATTGGTCCTGGATTGTTTGTGTCTTTAACACTGTTAGGTTGTGATTGCTTTCTTCAATTTCTCCCGTCCTTAGCTTCTTTTCTAGCTTTTGGGGGCCATCTGGATAGCAGTACTGATAATGATTATATAAAGCACTGACCGAAATCACAGCCACAACTATGTGCATCTGGGCTGAGACTGACACTCATGCACATGTACACACACTTTTCTGGCATTGTGAGTCTTTGTTTATAACCACACAAGCAGCCGTCACTTGGTCGTAACCCACGACTTTGATAGTAAGCTAAACTGAAAATTCTGGTCATAACTCCAGGGTCTACTGTAAATAAAAGTGGACCCTGCTTTAAATGCAGAAAAATCTCCTTGTTTCTGAAGCCTTTTGGCAGAGCCAGGCTGTGTCCCCTCTTGGAATGGTGGCCTCTCGGCCTCTGCTGCAGATAGACCCCTCTCTACCTGAAGACCCCTAGTAGTTGAAGCCCACGGCTGGGCTTAGTCTCTGCTCTGCATCCCATGCAAAAGCAGCTAAAAGCCTAAATAGACTTAGGAGGCTGAAGCAGGAGGCTCGCCAGGAGTTTGAGGCCAGGCTGGGCTACAGAGTAGGTTCAAGGTCAGCCTGAACTTGGTAGTGAGACCCTGTTCTGATTTGTGTCTAGATTCCCCACCCCCCAAGCCTCACGCAATCATAGGGCAGGCTTGTAGAGTTTGTGGTTAATTCATGATCTGATGCTGGATTATGGGCGTGAGTGCCAGCCCACCCTGGGGCAGGCAGCCTGCATGCAATATAAGGAAGGGAGAGAGGCTCACTGTCTCATTCACCCCTTACTGCTCTTGTAGCTTCTGCTGCGCCACCCTGCCTTGAAGCCAGCTGGTTATGGACTGAAACCTCCATGAACTGTGAGCTAAACAAACCTTCACTTCCTTAATTTTGAGCATCAGCTATTTTGTCTCAGCAACACAGACTCTATCTCAACAAACAAACATACAAAACAAACAACCCAAAACTAACAGAAGCCTAAATACATACTCTTGTAAATATTGCTGGGACTTAAAAAAGAAAAAAAAAGTAGCAATTTCCTAGTTCCTAGGACTTTGAATTTAACCTGATAAGCTAGTTTGGTCCTCTGTTATGTAACAGAAAGAAAAAGGTAGTCGAGTTTGAGGCCAGCCTGGGCTGCATAGCGAGTTCAAGGCCAGCCTAGACTACACAGGGAGACCTAATCTCCAAAGAAAGGGTGGGGGCTGGGGATGTAGTTCAGTGCAAAAGTTTTGGTATCAATCCCCAGAAGCAAGGAAAGGGGGGAAGGGAGCAAGAGAGGAAAAGGAAACATGCCAACTAAGGGCAATATGGGATCCTGGATTTAGAAACCGGAACTAGAGAAAGGTCCACCAGTGAGATCTGAATAAGCTCTGTGGCTTGGCCAACAGCTTCATGCAATGATGATTTCCTGACTTTGGCCCTTGTGCTGTGGCTTCATAGGATGTGAACAGCTGGGGAACTGAGGTAAGGGACCTCCTGGAACCATCTATCATTTTGAGACTTTTGTATGAGTTTAAAGTGGCTTCAAAATAAAAAGGGCCTTAGAAAGCTGCTATGAAAGCTAGTCTTCATGCCAGGAGACTGGAGAGGTCTGAGGTCACCTCTGGCTTCTTCTGTTAAGCCACCAGGACTGAAAGACCTTTGAGAGTCAGGCCCCATAAACCCCAGGTGTGGAAAGCACGGTGCTCAGGGCCCCCTCCACCCTTCACCACTTACCTTGTTCCATTTTTTCTGTCACAGACACTTAGGGTCCTCCCCGGGAGTTGTGACAGGGGTCTGGAGAGGCGAGCAGCCAGCATCATAGTGGGTAGTAGGTGGTCCACTTCCTCTGGGGGTCTGAAACACAGGTACACCCTCAGTACTCCATCAGCGCGCTCCAGGGCTGGTCCAAGTGTCCAGTTTTCTTCCAAAGTCAAGCCGCTGAATCCGTCCGACCCAGGCCAGATCCCCAAGTCAGGCCGAGTCTCCAGCATCTCTCCCAATTATGCCCTCATGTGGTGGGAAGTTACGAGCCAAGGGCCCTGGAAACCTGTCCTGCTGCAAGCGCAGGAGTGTGTGACTAACTCATGGGCGTGAGTGCCAGCCCACCCTGGGCAGGCAGCCTGCACCAACCCCCTGGGTGACTGGGAAGAATCATCACCCACTTGCAGCATGAGGAGGTGGCCTCACACAGTGATCCTCAAAGGAGGCTGCGCAGCAGCTCCTGGGCACATCAGGGCCTGAACCCCTCTGGGATTCTGACTGGGTGAGACCTGTCCCACTGTCCACAGGCCTCAGAAGAGGGATGATTGAAAAATATGACGAGTTCTTACATTTTTAAATATCTCTTACAGTAAAAGACACATTGCCATGTATCTCCCTAAAAATCCTAACCCTCGCTTAAACACACACATCCCAGCATTCTTGCCACTTTCTGAAGCGGCTCTGGAAGTCCCCTCTCCTAAGTGTCTTCACTCGTTCCCTCGTGGCTGCCTCAGTGTCCTGAATTGATTCAAACATGGGCCTTTTACGGTCAGTTTGACTTTGGGTAAGAACCAGGAATCAGAAGGTGTCAGATCCAGCGGATAAGGCGGACAAGGGCACGCTGTGTTTTCTAAACCTGGCTTTGTTGTAAGAACCGTAGGATGAGGTGAGGAGAGGACTTTCAGGAAAATTCATGACCATGTCTCGTTTACCATAATAATTTTTAAAATTTTAAGCCTTTACCATATATCTTAATCAGCTTTGTTCCCAGAAAAACACGCATCTGTGGCAACCACGGCGCCGGCCTCGCTGAGCTCTGCCTGGCCCTCCCTCCAGACCCAGCCACGTGGGCGCGGCGTCCAGGCTGAGTTCAGCGGGAACTCGTTACGGCCCGGAGTCAGAAGCTACCAAATGCGACTTTAAGTTAAAACACACATAGACAATCTCCCCATTGTCCTGCCGTTCAAAGTTAAATCAGTGTTATTATAACAAGTGTGGCCCGAAGGCCGCTTAGCTGGTGACCACTCATGCGTTATTAACTACTGATCTCCGTGCACAGCAGCCTGCCAGTTTGGGTGGCCACTGATTGCGCCGGGCCAACGAGAACGAAGGGCAGGCTGGCAGGGAGGCTAACCCGGCAGCTAGAGCCTGCAGCAGCTGGTCCTGTGCCTGGCCGGCGGGTTCTGGTCTCTCCTTAGCACACCTGGCTACACTTCGCCACATTGTTCGGATCAGCCCGGAGAGCTGCTCCCCCCGCCTCAGACCTATCCAGTAACCAGCCTAGGCCCGCAGGTCCCTATGCTAGTCAATTTTCCACTACAGTAATGAAACATCTGAGACTGAGGGCCTTATAAAGAAAAGGTTTATTTTGGCTCAGATTCTGGTCCAAAGGGTCCACCTGTGGTGCCCGCATTCTTACAGGCAGAGTCCAAGGGCATGCAGGTTACCTCAGGTAACAGAGAACACACACAAGGTTGAACGCAGAGTGTGTGTGTGTGTGTGTGTGTACACATGCATACGTGTTCTCGTGTCTCCCTCTCCTAAAGCACAGAGATCCAGTCTTGGGGACTCAACTCAGACGACCTTATCAAATTGTGCTCTCCCAAAGGCCCCACTCTAAGCAGTGCAGTCAGACTAAGATTCCACCCTTTTCACACCACACAGTGAGGGTTAAGTTTCAGCATCTGGGGAAGAGAACCATAGCAGCCAATAATAAGTTAATTAAGTATCACTCCAGCCGTTTGCTGCAGAAGATGTTCAATCTGCATGTTTTGTTTTTTTTTTTTCTGGAACCAGGGAATGAACTCAGGCCCTTGTGCTTGCCAAGCAAGCATTTATTCTACTGAGCTATCTCCCCAGCACCATTCTGCTTAATATCAGAGAAGGAGACACATGGAGGTCTCTGACTCGTGTTATCTCTCCTGAACTCTCTCTTCCTTGAACACTTGGCTCCAAGCACTCCAGCCAGAAAGGTCTTTCCCACACCAGGCAGGCTGTGCGACTCCCTTGTTTCAAGCCTCCTTTCCATGCCTGGTGGCACTGGCTTCCCACTCCCCCTCTGATCTTATCTGCCTCCCTCTGCCTGCTCACTGTGGCTGAGCCAAGCCCCTCAAAGTGTCCCGTGTCTGCCAGCCCCCTCCTGCACACTCCAAGCAGCTGAGACTTCTGACCCTGCAGGCCTCAGTGTGACCATCTCTCAGGCCCTCTTTCTGAAAGTCATGCTCCCATTGGACAGCCAGAGCAGTGGCGCTGGGAAGGCAGGCCATGAGGAGATGATTAGCTGGCTAGGAGGGAGCACTGCCTTTCTCAAGCACTGGATTGGTTACCCCAAGAGCGGGTTGTTACACAGCATGCCCCACACACACCTGCTTGCCTTGCTGCACTTTCTGCTATGCCGCGAAGCAACACAAGGCCCTTACCAGAAGCTAAGCAAATGCTGGGTGCTGGGCCTCGGCTTTCCCAGCCTTCCAAACCATGAGCCAAAATAAACCTCTTTACTTTATAAGTAAAGTCTCAGGCATTCTGTGAAGCAACAAACAGACTGAGATGCCCCCATTACTACAGTAGCATCCCATGCAACCTATGGGAGGCCAACGTCCAGGCCAGGGTTGGCTCCGATCTTTTCCTGAGAGCTATATACTCCTCAGCTGGCCGGCACACATATCTACCCGCTCCCTCCAGGCCCAGAGTCTGAGTTATCACCCCTGGGTGACCTCAAATGCAGTTGTCTACAGTTAAAGTCTTTTCTATCCTTTTGGCACACAGCCTGTGGCCAGCAAATGTTTCAATATCATCTCCAAATAGTGGGCTGCTTTAATTTTGTTGTCCTTAGAGTCAGCTATTCCAAAGTCAAAATATTCCAGAGTCAAACGTTCACAGCTACTCAGTCCTTTGAACAATGAACTATTTATGATGTAGTCTCTAGTAGGTAGGACAGTAGGAGGTGGAGCTGGTTTTTGCTGCTAGGGACAAACCCAGGGCCTCAAGCTGGCTAAGCACCTGCACCACCACTGAGGGACACCCTCAGCTTCCTCTTCTTCTTAAGTCTTTGAAACACATTGCTGTTTTTACTCCACACAATGCCAGAGGCACTGGTCTCCCAAGGACATTTAGTGCCTTGTGCTGGCTTCATTCTCTAAATGTAAAGGAATCCCACTCAGAAAGCTACTCGCCTTTTGATGAGGGACCAGAAGTGGATGTAGAGGCAGCAGTATAAGGAAGATGGCAGAGCCCATGGGCTGGGGACAGTCTCCTTGGCCTTGCAACTCGAGGAAGTGGCTGTCCCACAGTGGCTGAGCACAGGGATTTGACTCCAGGGGACTAAATTCACAAGATACAGTCACAGAATAAAAATGCTCCCATTTCAACTGGCCTTGTAGGAGAAACTTCTCTAATGTGAGGAACACTTGAGTCTCAAGAACACCCTCTTCTCTCTCCAAGGTCACCACATGAGCCATGGGATGTCCTGGATGAACCCATCATTCTACCCCCTCATGGGAAGGAATGCAGATCAGCTTATGCAGGGCGGGGGCCTGTGACCTGACTGCTGCACTAAAACCCCGAGAGAAAAATGGGTGGCCTGGTCCTTGTGTGCCAGGGGCTTGCCGTATTCGCAGAGGACACAGCTGGCTGCTCTCACAAGGGTCCACACTGGGGTTTCCCCTGTGAGGGGGCTAGCTTGCCCAGGACTGGTGCAGGGACCCCAGAATGGGCCTTAGGCAGGGAGCAGGTCACACATGTTGCCGGGCTGGATGAGCCCTTGCTCCACTGAGCACGAGGCGAGGGCCCTGGCCCAAGTTTAGGCAGGGAAATGGCCTGTGAGGGATCCACACTGCAGAGCTTGAGACGCGGAGCTTCTGGGTCAGGCCTAAAGTCTCTCAGTGGGCAGCCGGCCTCCAGGGTGCTCTGTGTGCCTGTTTGAGTTGATCACTATATATTTTCAGTATTTTCTTCTTTAATGTTTTCTTTAGTGTTTTAATTTTGTTGTTGTTCCAGGGATCAAACCCAGGGCCTTGTGCATGCTAAACTTACACTATACCACTGAGCTGCATGCCCAGCCTATTCTGTTTTACTTGTTTTGTTCTAATTAATTAGTTTGTGAGGAGGACCACCTGAGCAGCTCTCCTTGCAAGAAGAGTGATTGTCTCCATTGTGACTGAGCCTGACCCTATTTCTTTGTATTAATGTGTACAGAGCTGGCTAGGACTTCTCTTTATCCTTTCAATTGGCCTTAAGCAATGCATATTTGTCTAGTCAGGTGCTGGTGGTAGTTTTTGAGGGTGGCATGTGTGTTTCCACGATAACCCGCACCTGCTGCTCTTTAATGTGAGCCGGGTCAAGACAGGACGAAGAGCCAGTGCTGCTCCGCGCTGCCAGCTGGGATCGAGCCTTGAGATAGAAGCTATGACTTCCTGGGGCTTGAAAGATTACACATTAGAGCCGAAGCACCAGACCTCCCTGCCAAAAACATACTATCTCATTAGCATAATGCAGATTACTTTCTCTGCATATCCTCTCTGCATATGGCAGAGGTAAATGTAGGCCTCCTCCCTAGCTCAGCTCACAGTACTCACCTACTCCCCACAATTCTCAGTCATTCCTCCTCAAGCCACTCCTCCTCCACTAAATAAAACCCGGGTGCAGCCTTGGGTCACTCTGTTCTGGAAAGCCATCTTTGTGGCTGGACTTAGGGCCCTTGGCTCCCCAATAATTATAAATATGTTTTCATGTCTTTAATTTCACTGTGGGTTGCACTGGGAGTAGAAGATTGAAAATAACTTGGTGGGATTCCAATAATGTATCTTTGGGATTACAAATATTGACTTTTTAGACTGAGATGAGAACCAGGAGGGGACTCCCACAAGTTTGCTTTTTTATTCATTTTGTGGTACTGGGCACTCAACCCAGAGCCTCCACACTGAACTGCAGCCCAGCACATTGTTATTTTAATTTTAACAAGCTCTAAGTTGTCCAGGCTGGACTGACACTTGGATTCCTCCTGCCTCAGCCTCCAGGAGCGCTGGGACTCAGAGTGTGCCACCATGCCCAGCTCGAGCTAGCACTGTAAAAGTACCGAGGCAGCTAAATTATGCTTAAGCTTGATGTAAATGGTCTGTTTCTCTGTCTTAAAACTACCTACACTGCCTTTGCTAGCTGCCTAAGCACTTAAGGCTCTGAGCTCTAAGATCCCAAGTCAGACAGACGTGTGTCACCCTCTGGCCATTTCCCCTCTCATCATTAGGTTGCAGACATTCCAGCCCCGTTCAGCTGTGTGTGCCAACTGCACCATAACAGGAGCTTCCTTGAGGTCCTGCAAACAGGAACAAACCCACCTACCACTCCTTAGAGAGACTACCATTATGGAAGAAAGTCTACAAAATATATAGAAGCATCAATCAATGTCATGGCCTATGTTTGCATCACCATTTCATCATAAATGTAGACAAGATGCTCATACAGCTTGTTTTACAGAGTTATCAACAAAAGCCAAGGATTTAACAACTATAGACCCCGTTCTGCAAAAGGACTCCTCAGGTGGGCACCCTGGTAGGTCACAGATTATACTTGGATGACAGCACTTCTTCGGTGACACAGTGACACGTTACACTTTCTCCAGAGGTCATGCATGGGCATCTCTCCTGCTCTCCTGACACCCCTCCCCCCACAAACACACACACTTGCCCCTGGACACAAGATTTGACCTGTGTGGCTGAGGCTGGACAGTGAGACCACTGCCTTGCTCATACAGGCTGTGGCCAGGGAGAGATTCCAGGCCCAATATAAACTGTCACTCTGTTCCTGGCACTGAGAAAGAGTACAGATCAGCCTCTGTGAGGTGGGACATGTGATCTGGCTAGGATGGGCCAGCAACAGTGCATGGGCCAAGGAACCAGACAGAAATGAAGAAAGACAGAGACAGGCAGACAGAGGGATAAAATACACATTCAGAACACAGCAGAGATGGAGGAGGGAAGAAAATAAACAGTAACAGCAGCACTCTCCCTTCCTGCAGCTCTAAGGGGTGTTCATTCTCTAGTTATATATGCTTCATGTTTCTGTTAGTTACCACCAAAACAATGCCGGCTGAAACACAGTGAAGGTAGGTCTTTTCTGTTGAATATTATTGTCAACCATATCCCATGTTCTGAGGCCTCACTGTAGACCATGTAATAACAAGAGCACCTGTCCTTCCCCAAGAGCAAGTGTCAGTCTTGGAATACCCGACTCAAACTTAAGGAAGGAAAGGTTTATTCAGCTCAGTTTGTGGAGGTTTCCGTCAATAATCAGCTGCCTCTAAGGCGGAGCCGCACCGCATAGGGGCAGCGCTTCAAGGCAACAAGGAGGAGGGGGAAGCAAGCCTCTTTTCCTGCCTTATATGTAAGAGGTGCCTGCCCACACCATCTGCGGGGCTTTCCTCTTACACAGGCTCAGGATGAAGATAAAGCAAGGCCCCTGGCCCCCTGCTGAGTCTAAATTTAGGCTGACACAGTGAACAACATCCTAGAGCAGTAAGGGCATGTCCTTTTCAACCCAGGATGTAGCCCTGCTGAGTTACCTAGTAAGCTTCTAGACTCCTCAAATTGGCCCAATGTATCAACCAGAACAGTCACCTGGGTCAAAATGACCTTGATTACAATAGCCAGGTTAAGTAGACATCCCATCCCTGGGCAATCGGTTTGCTGAACAACTCCAAGTTAGACCGCCGAATTATGGGGTTTCATTTCTGTTCTGTTCCCACCACCCTTGTGACCACTCATAGCTCTAAATATGGTTCAAATGCTGCTACCTCCCCAGGGTTTACCTCCAGCAGTCTTCTCCCCTCAGCTCCAGAGCTGGGTACACAACTGCACCCTTGGAGGTTAAACAGATATCTCAGATCTAACCTGTCCAAGCAGACCTTGTGCTGCTGTCCTGCAAACCTGTTCCTCTAAATCCCCCTTGCTCTTGCAATACTTCTCTCTTGCTTCCACTCTCCAGCTATTAGCAAGTCCCACTGATTGGATCTTCACAGTATACTTGGGATGTTCTGCTGTTATCATAGTCTAAGCCTCCATCTCTTTTTACCCAGATTATTTCAATTGGGAGATTATTGCCTCCCAATTTCACTCCCCCGCCTCCTCAGAAACCACCCTTCAGGCTGTTCAACAGCCTGTCCTGTCTTGTCTCACAGCCTGTATCAAAAGGTCACAAGAACACACTGCACTGTCATTCCTGCTCCAAACACTTGCCAGAGTGAAGTCAAAATCTGTATAGATTGCCCAATCTGATCGGCTGGGGCCCCGACGTCTTTCTGATCTCATCCCCTTCTCAGTCACACACCTCAGTCACAAGGGCCTTCTTTTTTCCTGCCCATTCCGAGCAAGCCCCTGCTTCAGGGTCTCAGTCTGCGCCAGTCTGCACTCTGTCTTCCTACTCCGAGCGCTCTTTCCCAGTATCCTAGGATTCATTCTTTCCCTTCAACCCTTTATGCAGTGCTTACTCAGTGAGACAGCTCCTGGCCGCCTTGTCAATCCCACTTCCATCTTGGTATTTTCTATCTCCTTCCTTGCTCCCACTTTTTGTTTTCCTTCTTAGCCCCTGATAATATTCTACATACTTTTTCTTTTCTTCAGCACTTGGAGATCAAATCTAGGGCCATCATACTGAGTTACACCCCCAAACCCTTTTTTATAATTTATTTTGAGATAGGATCTTGCTAAGGCTGGGCTCCAACTTGTCATCCTCCTCCTTGGCTTCCCAGAGTGCTAGGTTTTATCTTATTTGCCATATTTCAGTCCCATTAGGATTTAACTATTTGAGAAAGGGGACTCTCTCAATTTTGTTCATTATTGTACCTCCAACACCTAAAAGAGTAACCTGCACATCCCAGTCACATAATATTTAAATAAATTAAAGAGAATTTTAAGCTGAGGAGTACCATCACACTTACATTTTAATAAATAACTCTGAGTTAATAGTAAACTAAGGTGAGTTTGAGCAGGAAGAACAGTGAGAAGTTACTACAGTAACTTAGAGCCACAATGTACTGGTACTCACCTCTGAGCACTACACAACTTCACTAAAATGTGAAGAGGTGCTTCCTGGAGATGGATTAAAAAAGGCTGACTCCAAGGGAAACCATGAAGGTGTATTGAATTGGCCAAATTGGGCTTTATTTTGAAGGTAAGAATCCACTACACTTAGCAACCCAATCACTGTAGGGATGTGAAAAAAAAAAAGAATTAAAAATATTTCCAACATTTTTGGCCTGGATGACATTAGTCCAAAGGGTGGATTAAGGACCTTTCTATTCATAGGTGCTTACTACATTTCAAACAGTGCGCAAGTCCTCCCGTGGCCCTCCAAATTTTGTCTCCAATTACACGTTCCTTTCCTGCTCATACTGAGCCCTTTGTTACACCACCACTCAACAAACCCCATGCTTCCTGGTTTCAGTGCTTGCTCATCCTACACCAAATCGGACTCTCTCTGTGATAGAGACCTAACTGGTACAAGTGACATTTTCTAGTCTACCTTTCCTGGTCCCCTAAATAAAGAAATTAATGTTTTCCCCAACTTCTTCCTACTGTGCCTTTGTGACCACGTTCACCTAGTTAGGGGTATTACAATTAAGCTGTTGATTAACTCCTCACAAGCTCCCATCTAACCGTCAATGCCCACACCCACCTCTCACGGTCAGGACCCACCTGGGGAATTGCGAGTTCTGTCTCCTTAGAATGCGGGTTCTATAAATGTGTACTAAGATAATAAGGAAGCTACACAAATTTCAAAGTCCAAGCTTCGTTGCGTCCCTGAGAAATATATATATATATATATATATATATATATATATATATATATATATATCCCCCAGGACCAGTCTGGCAGAAAGCGACACCTGCTGTGTCATAGAGGCCTTGTGTGACGCATATGCATACGTGCTTCTGACAATCCCAGAGGAGGGACAGCAGGGCTAGACAGTGACTCTGCACCAGTTGACTATACGCAGCTTTGGCCGACTGGCTGGAAAAACACGTGCAGTGTTCTGTGCCCGCTACCCACCCCCCACCCCCCCGCACTGGCAGGGTGCAGCTCTAGCCAGCCTCTCGCGGGAAAGGTAAGTGTGCGCGCTGAGACGTATCAGGACGTCAGATCCGAAGAGCTCCAGCTTGCTCCACCCAAGTAGCGACGCTGCCCCGGACGCACAGGCAACGCCTAGCTCCGCGCGGCTCCTGGCTAGGCCCGCGCCGTGGTCTGCGCAGCCAATCCCAGCACGGTGGTGCCTTCCTAGCCAATAGGAAGGTGGATGCCTCAGGGGCTCGGCCAGAGCCGCTCTCCCATTGGCTAAGAGCGGCACCGCCCAGACAAAGCCCCACTGTCCTCGCGCCGGCGCGCCAAGGGCTCTAGCCTGGGCCCGAGCCGGGCCCTTCACCTCCCGGCATCTCTCCCAGGCCTCCACCTTGCCGTGTCCTCTCTTCCCCAGACCTGTAGCCCATCAGCTCTCGGGCAACCCTCCCCTCTCTAGCGCGGGTTCTGCCCCAAAAGCTGGACAGCGGCCTGATCGCTGTCCAGCATCCTTTGCTGGGTGCAGCACTCCCCAGACCTCCGAGAACAGCGCCCCGTGGAGGGCGCGACAGGAGCGGAGGGCCGGCGGCAGAAACGAGCCCTGGGAAACGGGCCGCCAGGGAGCGGGAGCAGGGCCGGGAGCCGGAGATTGGAAGGCAGGACTACTTGCCTCAGTCTTGAACTACGATGTGACCTTGAACCCCCAACCCTTTCTGGGGCCGGCGATTTCTCCGGCAACCTTCGCAGCTGGGGACTATGAATCCTGAGAGCTCCGCCTGGCGGCCACGTGTTCAAAACCGGCCTGGTGCTGTGCACCCACCCGACTTTGCTCCCGCGGCACAGACGGGAGTCGGGAGGGTAGAACCGCGAGCGTTGCCTGAGAGGACCACCTGGGGTTGAGACGGGCTCGCCTTCCTCCCGCCTTTGATCAGTGGGCCAGGCTATAGGCCGCGATGGCCCTGTCCCTGACCAGCACACCAGGGGCCACTCAAGGCTAAACCAGCGTAAGCACAGTCGCGTCCCGCCGCTCTAGGGAGATGAAGACCCACTCTTACCCACGCCCGCAGGCAAGGCGGGTACGCCTGCCTGCCCCGGAGCAGTGCATATCCCACTCCCAGCCCGGAGGACCCAGACCCAGAGGGGGCGCTGGCGCCGCTCCCTCCAAAGCCCTTTTACGTACCCTCTGCGGTGTGCCCTGTCCCTGGCACCGGGATGCGCCCACACACTTGGGAGCTTGCGTTGGGCTGCGTCGGGCGGGGCCCGACTGCGAGACGTGGGGGCGGGGAGTCTCCCGCGCCGCCTCCTCTCCCCGCGCGCGCTGTGACGGGCACAGTCCCCGACGGGGCACCGCGTCGTTAGCCCCCCTCCCGCCCCTAGGTTAATTCACTCCCGCCCATTATCTCGGCAAAGCACCCCCACCTCTTTCCTGGCGTGGGACCAGCCAAGGGGGCAGGAAGTTTTCTCTGCCCGGGGCGGCGGGCACCGAGAAGGTGCTACTCCAGGAAGTGAGGAAACCCTAGCAATGAGGAAGCTCCCCCAAATCCTTTATGTATTGCTATCTTTCAACTCATCGGGATTGGCTGCTTGGTTTTAAATTTTATTTTGATCATTACAAATTTATTTTATGATATTGCTCCTAAGGAGTGTTTCATAATAATTTAAAACTACCATAGCCTCCCACAGGATCAGCAATAGAATGTTGGAGAGTAACTGGCCAGAGATGAAATTCTCTTCCTGCCCCGATACCCCTAGACAGTAGTTTCCAGGAAAGAGTGAAGAGAGAAAATAAACAGGACATGATGGTGGAGGGCTATTTTTAGGTAAATTACAGAAGGATGGAATGAAAAGGGACAAGCCAGATGAAAACAGGAAGGAAGTAACAGCAGGGACAGGGGGTGGCTTTAGTGTATGTGCTGCCTGAGGCGACCACTGGGGTTGGCTTCAACGAAACCTGTCCTGTCCATCCCAGGAGCTGCTTGAGGGTTGAGGGTGTGTCTTCTTCAAGCCCAGCTCCGGATGCACTGAGCCTTAAAGTCTGGGAGAATTGCAATGCACTCTGCACCCATTTCACAAGCTCCAGCCAGGACCCTTGCCTCACAGATGCCTTTGGGAATAGTCACTTGGTACGTCAGGCTACCGCCCTCGTAACAAATCCCTAATCTAAGTCAGCAGGCAACACTTGGAAGATTTGCATGGCTGAAAAAGCAGTTAAAAGAATTCATCCTTCCACCTAGGAAAACCGTAGATCCTAAATTTGAACTGAGAATCAAGTGGCAATGTATTTCCCTCTATGGAAGACAAAGAAGGGACAGCTGATCTCTCTGTGGTGGTACCAGACCCCTGCAGTGGCTGGGCTCACATCGCTCTCTGGTCTGCTGTTGTAACCAGCTGAATAGGATGTAACCAGAGAGTCCCCTCCCTTTGTTGTACCCGTCTCTCGCTGCTCCAGGGCTTCTCTGCCACTGCAGCCTGGGACCCCTGCAGCAACCTGCTGCCTGTCCTGACACGGAGTCAACCTGGGGTGACCTCTGGCCAGCAGCACACCTTGCAGTCTTCTCCCCACGGTTCTGAGATACACACTTCCTAGCTGAAATAAGTACATACATATGTGATATATTTTAAGATATGGGATATCTATATCTGGGAAATTATATATA